TAACATCTCCTCTGCCTCTTTCTCCACCTCTAGGTTAGTGCATCATAGCAATTTCAGAGTATCAAATGTTATCATCATAATTTACCCTTCAGTGCTTCGGCTTTCATCAGTAAATATCTGCCACAGAAGAAGATCTTCCAGTAATTTTAAAATTTCCCTCATTTAGGTTTAACTTCCACATGAGACACAAAACAAACAATGCAATAAACAAGCGTGATGTGTTCTTTTATTCAAAACATCCTCTGTGCTTCTTTTTCTTCAACTTATCTTTATGTCTCCATAAATATTTGCTTAAAACAGTTTCAATTCTACCTTTAGACAATTTTGAGCATTTTAAAGAACATATTTCAAGAATAGAAAAATGTAGAGCGTATATTACTCATACACACACCATCACAGGAATGATACACATGCAACCTTGTGCAGAGCCCTTTCAAGCCCCATTTCTGTCATCCCCTCCTTGATAAGTAGGCTTGAACAAAAATTTGCATCAAGGCCAATTTTGTATACATTTGCTGTAAATATCTACTTTTGAAAAAAACCAGAATATTGTCTTTTGCATATTTTGGATTTTTCAATTTAAATGCTACCTTGTAGCTAGAATTTCCTTTCACCTTTGCTAAGCATGATCCCTTTGAACCTAAATTCTCATTCATTCATTCTACCTGCTGCTCTGTACTTGGTTAAAGTATATCTATTATGATTTATTTGAGGGCTTTATAGGTGCAAATAGGTGAATGGGATGAAGGGGAACAGAGATTTTAGCAAATCAGACAGAGAAAGCACTGGAAGAATCTGGGACTGAGATGTCTGGGCAATGGGATAAAGGAGATGGCTCAGGACACATGCCTTGAGTCTGGGTCCTGGACTGCAGGTCCCTGTCCCTAGCCTTGTGACCTGCTGTACCGAGAAACTGCCAGGGTGGCTGGGCCAGAGGTGTATGAATAGTGAACCAGCTGGGAATAGCTCTGGGCTCTCTATGATTGCTGGGAATCAACTCTGAGAAAAAGAGCTTTGACAAAGAGCTGGTCTTCGAAAGGAAGAAGTTACTAAAATCCTGCTATATAGGGAGTCTGAGTAGAAATGAGATTTGGGGGCTTGATGTTGGTAAAGGTCTGGAAAAGCAATTGGAAAATTGATCTACGTTCCTTTGTTATTTATGTGGAAAGCAGCTCCCTTGACTTCTCCTGTCATAGTTTGCATCCACCCCCCACATACACACATCACGATTATTGTTTTTCAACCGAAAACTTTCAAACAACAAAGTTTTCAAGGAAATTTCTTAGGAAAATGATCACAAATGTTAGTGGGAATCTGAATTATTTTTTCCCTAGAAAGAGTAGTATGCTTCGTATCCTTTTAATGAGTAATAAAGTGAGAAATGTAGTTTCTATATTCTTTTATTTGTAAATACCTTAGCTGTCATATGGATATGTTCATCACATAATTCCACACATGAAAGTTACCTTTACATTTAGGCAATACTAATTTTGTGTTATTTGGGGGTCATACTCCGAGATACTCAGGAGTTACTCCTGACTCTGCACTCAGAAACCACTCCTCACGGTGACTGGGGAACCTTATGGGATTCCAGGGATCAAACATGAGTGGGCAGCATGCAAGGTGAACACCCTAACCACTGCATATCTCTCCGGCCCCAGATACTATTAATTTTTAAAAATCTGGTAAGCACATATTTGTATGGATAATGAAGTTGCATTCTTTAAGTATTATCCTTCACAGCATACAAACTGGAAGTAGGAGAGATAACAGAATCAGAAACCTAATTCTACAAGGTGAGCTTTTCTGAAGGTGCAACACCTCTGTCAAGCCCAACTACACATGGTATAACCAAAGACCAAGAGGAGCATTACACTGAGAAGTTACTCACTACTAATAAGAAAAAAATAAGCCTCAACAGAGAGTGGCTCAAATTCTCTACCTTTCAGGTTTTGGTGGTTTGGTCTCCTGAGCACCACCAGGAGTAATATCTAGTAATCCATCCCCTCCCCACCAAATAGTAACAACAAAAAAGATTCAAGAACATCTATGTGGCAAATAAATTGAGGAAGCATTAACAAGTTTAATAATCAGGTGCTAACACATACCATTTTGTTAGAATCCTTACTTAATAAAATGCATTTATGCTCTTCATTCAATTTATATTGTGTCTCTCAAGCTCTTATGTTTAAGTCTTTTCTTGGAGTCATAAAAAGAAAAAAATCTTACACAAGGGGCATAATCACTGGCTTTCTGGATGGTGTTCACTGTACATGCTAAGTGACATTAATTTGCAGAGTATCTACATCATACATTATTAAGTCCCTAGGCAGTATTTGTATTAATCGAAAATACAAAATAGAATGCATTTTTTGGTATGTGTCACTGCTAAGTATTAATTTTTCCAGAACCCACTTTTTTGAAAGGTAGATCTAAACCAACATATTTAATATACTTTTTTGCACTGTTTGAATGACATACATATTGCTTTTTATTAAGGAGAGCATTGTGAATGACTTAAATGTATTCTATTTTTAGCTTACTAAGTATTCAAAGTGTAGATTCCAAACAAATTTATGGCAGTATGCTTTTATTCATCCAAGATAAGACTCCATACTCTCAGGTACATAAATTTAAACATACCATTTATGTTTTACTGATTTTACATTTTACTAACATCAGCTCACATTTACAGAACTGACACAAGTGAAAGAAGGATAGGACCCTTTTATAAAAGGACTCTAATATGCTAATTAACATTACTCAACAATGATTTACAATAAAGCATTTTCATTCAGAAGTAGATAAAATAACAAGTTCAACTTACTGAAAAGGCTAAAAAAGAAGATTTGAGTTCTATTTTTAAATAAATTAAGGAAGTCAAACCTAGAATACTTTAAGAGTAGGATGGAAAGAAAATTGTTTCTTATAAGGAGAGTGCATGTAAGATTTTTTTCAAATCCTTACTTCCTATTATGCTGGGAAAAATAAAAAGGTTTTGGTTTTTCCTTGAATAGACAAAAGAGTACTAATTATAATGCAAAAACAAAGCTTTTTATTTTGATGACATTTCCTATGGCAAACAATTAGGCCAACAGACACATAGGCATAAACTGGGAGCTGTGAAATTTATTTGGGTATATTCGCCAAAAATAATGACCTAGTGTTCTACCAGCAGTCTAACGTGAGTGTGGGGGTGGGAGAAGGGAGGCTGAGGAGCCAAAATGGTTAGTTAATAAAATTTTCATGACTGAAAAAGTTTTGGTCTCTAGATGCATAGGTTGAAATTTTCCAAAATTCTGTCAGCAAAAAAGCATTCTGCCTTTTAATAGTTACCATACATTCTTAAGATTTACCAGAGATGTTTCTAATCCTATTAGTTAAGACTTTCATATACTTCATTTGAAGGAAGGACAGTGGGGGCGAGAGAGAGTGCAGCAGGTACAGGGCTTTCCATGCAGGTGTCTGACCCAGGTTCAGCCTCCAGGACCTTATATGGATTCCTGAATCTCATCAGGAATGATCCCTGAGCAGACCCAGGACTAAGGAATCCTCTATGGCCACCAACTGTGTCCCACCTGCCTTCCCTCCAACCGCAAGAAACAAAAAGAATGCCCTATCTACTAAATTCTTAAAAGCAAATCAGAGCATACCACCCTTTCACAGGTACAACTGATAACAAGTCTACCCTTAATTTACTGCAATATTGAAGGCAATCACTAGCGAGCTAGAAAAAACAAAGAAACTATGACTTAGGCAAATATATTTTTAGATTTTTTGAAGGATTTACTTTTTTTTTCTCGGTAATTTGGGGGATCTTCTAGGCATTGTGCAGAAGGCCTAGGGACCACTACTGACACAATGGCCAACTGTGATAAGTAACTGAATTCCTGAGGTCAAGGATATAGAGTAGTTCTGGCCCTGTGTTGCTGATGACCACATGAACACACATGCTGTGCCTGGGCCCATCAGGGAAACACTCAGAGGTGATAGCGGACCATGTGGGTCTGCAGTGTGAACTTAAGTTGCAGTGTGAACATAAAGCATGTGCCTTTCGCCATTGAGCTATATTCAGGCCCCCATAAATCTACTCTCTTAATACAAAAAGGTTTCAAGAGGTACCGGAGAGACAATACAGCAGGTAGGCATTTGCCTTGCACGTGGCTATCCCGGGGTTCATCACCCAGCATCCCATATGGTCCAACAAGCACTGCCAAGAGTATAAGAATAATTCCCACGTGCAGAGCCACGAGTAATCCCTGAGCATTTCTAGGTATGACCCAAACACCAAAACAGAACAAAACAAACAAAAATCCCAAAGGTTACAAGAATTAGTTCATAAAGATTCAATTCTAAGAGAAAAAAATTACTGATGATGTTAAGTCTTTGTCAATTCAAATGGAAGCCTATGATTTACTCTATATAGACCCATATAGAGTAAATCATAGGCTTCCAGACAAATCAACAATGATTTACAATAAAGCATTTTCATTCAGAAGTAGATAAAATAACAAGTTCAACTTACTGAAAAGGCTAAAAAAGAAATTTGAGTTCTATTTTTAAATAAATTAAGGAAGTCAGACCTAGAATACTTTAAGAGTAGGATGGAAAGAAAATTGTTTCTTATAAGGAGAGTGCATGTAAGATTTTTAAAAAATAATCACAGACTTCCAGATCAAACAGAAAAACAATTGTTCATGATTCAGATCAAGTTATACTATTTCAGAACGACTTCTGATTTTGTTTGATAGCATTACATAATTTTTTAAAGTTAAAATTCTCCTAGGCACAAGTATGCATTTTTGTTTACAATGACCATACGGAAACTGTTTGGGAAATTATCTCAGTATCATTCATATTTAACCTTTATAAATATATACCCTGTTTTTTCTTAATTTGATGATTATCATTTAACTTGCACTTGCAATAAAAATCTAAAATGTCAGAGAATAATAACATTATGAATTATTTTTGAGCTTAACAAAAATAATGCTACTTACAAACTTCCTCTTCTGGGCAGACTCAGCTCCTTCTGCAAAGAAAAAAATCACATATATGAGATTCTACTGAATCTTAGACTATAGGACACAAAATGAATAACAAAATGTACTGTACTTTGTTAAGTTGATTTGGCAATTTTTCATATTGAGAAAAAAAGATTTTGATGTTACAATTTTTGTGCAGGCTCTCCTCTTACCTCTCAATTGTTGTTATCTTTATGCACCAAATTTAAGATAAGGCCCTCCTGTTGATCATCGATTTGCTCGAGCGGACCCAGTAACGTCTCCATTGGAGACTTTGTTGTTACTGTGTCTGGCATATCGAATACTCTCGGTAGCTTGCCGGGCTCTCCGAGAGGGGCGGAGGAATCGAACTCGGGGCGGCCATGTTGGCTGTGTGCAAGGCGAACACCCTACCACTGTGCTATCGATACGGAAGCATTTTTTATTTTTTTCTTCTTTTCTTTCTTTTTTCTTTTTCTTTTTGGCTTTTAGCTATTCCTGGTGATGCTCAGGAGTTACTCCAGGATCTGTGCTCAGGAATCACTCCTAGTAGGCTCAGGGGACCACATAGGATGCCACGGTCAGCCATATATAAGGCAAACATTTCACCTGCTGCACTATTGCTCTGGCCACAAGAAACATATTTTTTTCTAAATTTTAGAGTGCAAAAGACACCAATCCTCCCAAGGCAACTATTCCATAAAGTAAATGATGTAAAATATTGAGTTGAGCTCCTCTGATTGAGCATAAGAGAAATCTAAAGGACCAAAAGATACATCCCAAGAAGAAAAAGACCCAAGACAAAATTTTATAGGATCATAATTATGTAAAAAGTAAAATGAAAAATGCAATTAAATAAACCATTTGTCCCCAAAAGATATAAACTTATGCAAACTATTATTTATACCAAAGATTATAAAAATAAAAGGCAAAAGGTATCCTTCTGGAATTACATCTTTAAACAAATACATTTAAATATTCTAAACATATTACATTATTTTGAATATCTGAATGTCAACAAGCCTCTAAAAATGTAACCTGACAGCAACAAAGATTGAGTGCTTTCAAATTTTTAAAAAGCGTTCTCCCACTTATCTCAAATTGAATTCATTTTAGAAACTAAGGAAAAACAACAAATAACCAATAAGCAAACAACCAACAAATATGCAAAACAGAGTCAGAAGTCCTTCCATCCACAAGTAAAGTTTTTAGATGCCCAGGTGCTCAAGAAAGAGTATTTGATGACAATAATTAAAGAATGGAAGGTATGAGTCATCCGGCTACCATAGGTCAAAGAGAGGACACTGTAAACTGAAAACACTCAAGTAAATTTTGTTTCGGGATGCCATCATTATTTATTTACTGCCTTCTGAGAGTCAGCTTTTAGAGTTCTCTCTTGGAGGGTGTTTTGCCCTCAGTCCCAAACTCACTATTCCTGTCCCCATTTCCTACTGGACTCTTACATGTTGTCCTGGGAAATGGTTCTAAGATTTCCAGAAAAGAGTATAATTTACTCCAGCACAGCTTACAGACTAGAAGATGGCCTTTGAGAACATCAGACCACAGGGCAGGATGCTGCTTTTAATGTAAGAAACCCTGCTTATGAACTGGCAAATGTACTTGATAGCTATAATCATCTTATAGTCATTAGCCACAAACATGCTGAGACCACTCTCAGCAGAGGTACCTGCAGAGGAACAAAGGCATGCAGGTCCCGGAGCTGAGATCTCCAAGCCTGCTCGGATCGGGGTAGAGCATCCTCCACCCAGATCCTCCATCCTCCAGTAGGCAGGGGTCATACCCACCAAATGTCCCCCCCCTCCGCTCCGCCCCCACGCCTGGCTGTCCTCTCCAGGGCCCCCTGGGGGGGGGCGGGTTAAGTTTCCCTCCCCGCCCCGAGTAGAGCCCCAGCAGCCAAAGACCTCCAGAACCAGCCACAACCATGCTGAGACCACTCTCCACACACATAAAGGTACCAGCAGAGGAACAAAGGCATGCAGGTCCCAGGGCTTAGATCTCCAAGCCTGCTCAGCTAGGTACTGAGCATCCTCCTCCCAGATCTTCCATCTTCCAGTAGGCAGGGGTCACACCCACCAACTGCCCCCTCCCCCACCCCACAGTGTAATCCCATCAATGGCCAAGACCCAGAGACTATAAAACCCAACTCCCGGAAGCGCGCAGTCGCGTCTTGTTATCTCATTCTTGCTTTGGACAACCTGGCAGGCTACCGAATGTAAACTGCCCACACGGCAGAGACTGGCAAACTCCCCGTGGTGTACCCAATATGGCAAATACCAGTAACAATGATGGGTCTCATTCTCCTACCCTGAAAGAGCCTTGAATGTGGCACTTTTTAGAATCTCAGGGCTAGGGCCAAGGAGACATTATAGGTGCCTGCTCGAGGCAGTCGACGAACAACAGGATGATTGTGATCATGAATCATCATGTCATTGTTTAATTGCAAGAAGAATAAGCAACAATTTTAGCAACCAAATGTCTTCTTTCTCTTAATAACTAACATTTTCTTTTCAAGAGCAGCAGTGCTCATTGGTGAAATGCTTTATTGCTTTGTTTTGTTTTGCTTTTGCTTTAATCCTTGATTAGCCCCCCAAAATTATAGTGTTTGCTGAACTCGGCTCCCTAATTCTAAAACATAAATATACCTTCATTCATGAAAGATCCTAATGATAAGGGCAAAATCTCTGACCAAGAGGTTTTCCTTGGGAGGTGGAAATAGAAAACTAATGAGTAATTTTCCATATGTCTTATCTGGGGTTGGGACAAGCACTGAGAAATTAATTTTGTGTTCAGGTTTTAAGAAGAAAAGGGGAAAAGGTAACTCCCATTGTTTACTGGTCTACTTCTTTCAGAAAAGAATCACTGAGAACCAGTACATGGCAAAAGGCTTAGAGCTCAGTGAGTAAATGCTGCTCTGTTCAGTAAATCGATTTGATAGAAGCATAAAAAGATAAGAAGGTGTACCTGAGATTCAGATGCTATTTCAACTCTATATGCAAATAGATCCCTCAAAGGATACAGGAGGCAAAGGGCCAAATGAGTGATCCCACAGAGTCCAATCAATCATATTCCACGCAATGACCTGACCATAAGCCAGCTGCTCTGCTCTGAGAAAAAGCTGCTGAAACAGCAAGATAAGGGATAAAGCCCAACTCTGTAATCAGAAGTCTTTCCAGTAGGTCTAGAATTATGAGTTCTAAACAAGAAGAAAGGTTAGGGTGGCTCACCCTGCACTGCCACTCCACAGGACAGCAGCCGGGGTCCCAAGACGAGGAGCAGAGCACATTTAATAGGCCACTGCCAACTGCCCTGAAGCTTCCAAGCTAACCAAGCTGAAGGAGCTAATCCACCTGACGGCTTGAATGTCAGGCGTGGGACTGGAAACTCAATTTGGTCGCAAATTGGAATCAGATGTGATGGTAATAAAGTGAGAGAAATGAATGTGCCGTGGCTGGGACCTTGTGAACAGGAGCTGCAAAAGTCTGCAAATAAGAGGAGGGCTGAGCAATTGCAGAAAGAACAGGAGTGACGGCGGGACCACATGCTGATAAATCTGCACTGGTCAGACGTAAATAAGCAGCATCCAGGCACTTACTGTCCCCGCCACTCTGGTACTTTCTCTGTGTGTCTTCATCTTATTTTCTTAATGTCAGCGTAAGGTCACTTAGCGTGTACTCTGGGAATTAGATAAAACTTCGTGTAGCACTCTGACACATAAACCAAAGCTTGAGCTTAGTATAGATGAAACAGGTTGAGAATTTAGCGTCAGATAAGAATGACAAGAGGGAAGAGGAACTAGGTAAGAGCAAGGAGCCATCCCCTGAACTAAATAAATACATCAATACTTATCATCCCAGAATCAAATAATTCTTAATCTACTTAAGCAGATTATGATTTCTTTTCTTTTCTTTTCTTTTTTTCTTTTTTTTTTTTTTTTTTTGCTTTTTGGGTCACACCCAGCGATGCTCAGGGGCTACTCCTGGCTCATGCACTCAGGAATTACTCCTGGCGCTGCTCGGGAGACCATATGGGATGCTGGGAATCGAACCTGTGTTGGCCATGTTGGCTGCATGCAAGGCAAACGTCCTACCACTGTGCTATCGCTCCAGCCCCAGATTATGACTTTTTGATGATTCTAATTGATGCTGTTTTTATCTTGTGGCCTCTAACTTTTCTCAAAATTGGTTACCATGATCAGGTTGGTATTATATATTCTGTACTCCCTTTCAAAAAGTGCCAATGAGCAAACAGCTCCACTGAAAATAAACGTGCAGTAAAGCTAATCTTGCCTGAGACCTTGTTATCTTCTTGTGCTCACTTGATAAGATTGAAAGACATACAAGGGTTGCTCAAATCCAGGAAAAGAATTCCTGGAGAGTCCTGAAAGAAAAGGCAATAACAAATGGTTTTTCTCTGTTCCCCCTTGGTGATCCCTGGAGAAAACAATAAAAGCAGCTTGTCTCAAAAGGAAGACGGAGAAAATGGCAAGGTCTAATATGTATCAGAAATTTCCACAATGGCAATTTAAAAAATGTTTCTATGATGTAATAAGCAGTTAATAATTATGATATAACAAAATATATAGTTAAACATGCTACATGGTTTTAGAGAATCCTGAGCTATGCTTTTAAAACAAGGGTAGGTATGGAGAGATAGTACAGGGAAGGGCACTTGTTTTATATGCAGTTGAACCCCACTTTGATCCCCAGCACCACATATGGTCTCCCAAGCACAATCAGGACTGATTCCTGAGCACAGAGCCAGGATTAAGCCCCTGAGCTCAACCGGGTGTGGTCTCATGCTGCCCTCTCCTCCACAAAATAGGGTTCAGGAACTTCCAGCCTCTAGGCTATGTAGGGCCTCTGAAGTCCCAAGGCCTGGGACAGACATGTGTGGTTCTCAAAGGCTGCCCTTGGTCATCTGCCTGTATTATAAGGCCCAGAACTGATGTTATAAATACCCAACAGTCCTTAAAGGAAAAAAATGGTTTCCCACAACCTCCTGTTGAACT